CCAGGCTGGAGTGCAATGGCGCGATCTTGGCTCACCGCAACCTCCGCCTCCTGGGTTCAGGCAATTCTCCTGCCTCAGCCTCCTGAGTAGCTGGGATTACAGGCACGTGCCACCATGCCCAGCTAATTTTTTGTATTTTTAGTAGAGACGGGGTTTCACCATGTTGACCAGGATGGTCTCGATCTCTTGACCTCGTGATCCACCCGCCTCGGCCTCCCAAAGTGCTGGGATTACAAGCTTGAGCCACCGCGCCCGGCTAATTTTTATATTTTTAGTAGAGATAGGGTTTCATCATGTTGGCCAGGCTGGTCTTGAACTCCTGGCCTCAGGTGATCCACCTGTGTTGTCCTCCCAAAGTGCTGGGATTACAGGCGTGAGCCACTGCATCTGTCCTGAATACTCCTTAAACACATCAGGCACATTCCTGCCTCACGGCCTTTGCACTGCCTGCTCCTGCTGCCTTGAAGTCCACGTGATTAACTCGTTGACTTCTCCAGGTGCTGACTCAAATGTCATCTCTTCTCTAAGGACCTCCAACAGCTTCCCCATCACTCACCATCCCATGTCCCTTGTTTTTATTTTGAGACAGAGTCTCTCTGTGTTGCCCAGGCTGGAGTGCAGTGGCATGATCTCTTCCTTACTGCAACCTCCGCCTCCAGGGATCAAGTGATTCTCCTGCCTTAGCCTCCAGAGCAGCTGGGACTACAGGTGCACGGCCCCCCAAAATGTTGGGATGACAGGCGTGAGCCACCGTGCCCGGCCTGATTGTGTCTCTTACCAGAATGCCCCCTCCATATGGGTGGATGCTGTTTTCTGTTTTGATCAGTGCTGTGACCCCTGGGGACTGCCTAGAACTGGGTCTAACGCACAGCGGGTGCTCAGTAAATATTTTTCAAATGAGTGAATGGTGACTAAGACATGCATTTGGAACCAGACAGACCCAGGCGCAAAAACTGTTATGCCACCCATGACCGTGCAGCTTCTCTGTGACTAATTTCCTCACTGGGCACCATGAGGGTTCAGCAAGCAGCTGACCGTGAAGCCCTCAGCAGGAACCCCAGGCACAATCAGCTCTTCATAAGCTTCCGTCCCTTCTGGCCAGGGACAGTGGCTGACCCCTGTAATCCCAGCGCTTTCAGAGGCTGAGGAGGAAGCATGGCTTAAGCCCAGGAGTTCAAGCCCAGCCTGGGCAACACAGTGAGACCCCCATCTCTACAAAAGATAGAAAAAAATGGCCAGGCGCGGTGGCTCACGCCTGTAATCCCAGCACTTTGCGAAGTAGAGGTGGGCAGATCACTTGAGCTCAGAGGTTCAAGACCAGCCTGGCTAACATCAGCCTGGTCAAACCCTATCTTTACGAAAAATACAAAAATTAGCTGGGCGTGGTGGTGTGCACCTATAATCCCAGCTATTCTTGAAGCTGAGGAAGGAGAATCGCCTGAACCTGGGAGATACAGGTTGCAGTGGGTGGAGACTGCACCACTGCACTCCAGCCTAGGTGATAGAGCAAGACTCTGTCTGAAAACACAAAACAAAACAAAACAAAACTCAGCCAGGTATAGTGGCATGCGCCTGTAGTCCCAGCTACTCAGGAGGCTGAGGGGGGAGGATCACTTGAGCCCAGGAAGTGGAGGCTGCAGTGAACTATAATTGTGGATGTCGGAGTAAGACCCTGTCTCGCTGGGCACAGCGGCTCACTACCTGTCATCCCAGCACTTTGGGAGGCTGAAGTGGGGGGATCACCTGAGGCTGGGAGTTTGAGACCAGCCTAATGGAGAAACCCCACCTCTACTAAAAGTACAAAATTAGTCAGGTGTGGTGGCGCCTGCCTGTAATCCCAGCTACTTGGGAGGCTGAGGCAGGAGAATTGTTTGAACCAGGGAGGCGAACGTTGCGGTGAGCAGAGATCATGCCATTGCACTCCAGCCTGGGCAACAAGAGCAAAACTCTGTCTCAAAAAAAAAGACCCTGTCTCAAAACAAAAACAAAAACAAAAACAAATCTGCCCCCTCGCAGAGCCCCGCCCGCCTCGCGCCCGCCCTGCCTGGTTGAGACTCACCGAGCACTTGATGTTCATGCGGGAATACAGCATGGATGCAATCTCACTCTGCCCCGCGTCCAAGGCCACCATCAGAGCTGTGCTCCCGTCCTGCAAAGTATCGGTGCTGTGAATGACGTCCCCACACTGTGCTGCTGCCGCCCTCCCCGGGGTGCACCTGGTTGGAGACTCACGCGATCCGTGAGTGAGATGTCACAGCTGGGCACGGCCAGCAGCAGCCCCGCGATCTCCTTGTGGCCGTGCTCACAGGCGCACATGAGGGCCGTGGAGCCATCATCATCTTGCACATTGACATCTGCCTCGCAGGTCAGCAGGGCTTTGACCACGTCCACCCGCCCGTGGCTGACTGCCAGCATCAGGGCTGTCTGTCCGGCCTGGGGAGGGCAAGGAACAGGATTATGGCTCATGCAGGCCCCAGGGCAGGACACCCTTGCTCTAGAACCTGCTGTGGCTCCCACATACTCTGATGGTGAAATGTACCCTCAACTTGCTGGTCTCCTTCTGAATCTCAAACAACCCTTCTCATCACTGGGGGAGTAATAAATCCATAGAGACAGAAAGCAGAAGAGTAGTTGTGAGGGGCTAGGAGAAGCGGGGGCAGGGGGAGAAATAAGGAATGACTACCACTGGATACAGGTTTCCTTTGGGGGTGATGAGAACGTTCTGGAATTAGACAGAGGTGTTCGTTGCACAACAGGGTGAATGTATTTTATGCCAGCAGCGCTTTTAGTATTGTTTTGTTTTAGAGACAGGGTCCTGCTCTGTTGCCCAGGTTGGAGTGCAGTGGCACGATCGCAGCTCACGGCAGCCTCGACTTCCCCAGGCTCAGGGGATCCTCCCACCTCAGCCTCCTGAGTAGCTGGGATTATAGGCATGGGCCACAGTGCCTGGCTAATTTTTGTATTTTTTGTATAGATAGGGTTTTCCATGTTGCCCAGGCAAACTTTTCACTTTAAAAGGGTTAGTTTTGGGTGCTGTGGCTCAGGCCAGCAATCCTAGCACTTTGGGAGGCCGAGGTGGGGGGACTGCTTGAGCGTAGAAGGTCACGGCTACAGTGAGCTGTGATGATGCCACTGCACTCCAGCCTGGGTGACAAAGTGAGACCCTGTCTCAAAAAAAATAAAAAGTTAGAAATAAACGGGTTAATCTTATGTTTTGTAAATTTCACCTTCTTTTCTTTCTTTTTTAATGGGCGGGGTGGGGTTCCCTTTGCTGCCCAGGCTGGTCTCGAACTCCTGACCTCAAGCAATTCTCCTGCCTTGTTCTCCCAAAGTGCTGGGATTACAGGCATTAGCCACCTTGCCAAGCCTCGCCTTAATTTTTTTTTTTTTTTTTTGAGACAGAATCTTACTCTGTCACCCAGCCTAGGGTGCAGTGGTGTGATCTCAGCTCGCTGCAACCTCCACCTCCCAGGTTCAAGTGATTTTCCTGCCGCCTCCTGAGTATCTGGGATTACAGGCATGTGCCACCATGCCTGGCTAATTTTTTTATTTTTTAGTAAAGACAGGGTTTCACCATGTTGGCCAGGCTGGTCTTGAATTCCTGACCTTAAGTGATCTGCCCAAGTCAGCCTCCCACAGTGCTGTGATTACAGGAATGAGCCATGGTGCCTGGCATTCATTTTTTGAAAATGAAACCACTAAAAAAAATTTCTTGGAAATTAAAGCAAAATTAAATCAATTAAGATAAAGCAGGTCATGCCTGTTATGGCTCATCACAGCTCCCTGTTTTGGTCCTTTGCTGTCTTCAGGCTGTTGCCAATCCTTGTCCTCCTCACTGTCCCGGGTCCCTGCTTCCCTGCTCTTTTTTAAATTTTCTTTTCTTTTCTTTTTTTTTTTTTTTTTTTTTTTT